TCAAGCAGGGTTCCTTGGAGATATGAGAGAATTTCTGGAGAAATTAATGTAAATTTCAGGTGAGAATAATCTGAAAACTAATTTTCTGAAGTCAAATTTGAATTGCCAATCATTTTATTTACCTTTACCATAAGGTTCACTTACTCATTCTGGGAGTGAAGAGCTTATCCTGAGAAAAAAAGATTTTAAAAGGTGGGATTTTAGCCATTAGAGTTTAGAAGAATGAGAGCGGTATTATTGAAACATTTAAAATTCTGAGAGGACTTGACAAAGTGATTTCCAGGAGGATGTTTGCTCTTGAGGGGGAGATTTGCGCTAGGGGCACAGTTTGAAAATAAGAGGTCTCTTGTTTGAGACAGATGAGGACAAATGTTCTCCCTCAGATGGTAGTTAGTTTGAAATTCTCTTCCCCAGAAAGCAATGTAGGCTGATTCATTACATTTATTGAAGGCTGATTTAGACTTTTCGTAGTCAACAGTTGAGGGTAATTTAAATATGTTCACTTTCATTAGAGTTATAATATCAAACTTCTTTGGAGTGAGAACCCTGAGCAGGTGGCCTTAAATAGTTTGAATATGACAAACTACCAAAAATAATCGTCAAGGTTAGTGGTAAATTTGACACAGTGTACGTTAGTTGAGTTTAATGGATAAGATACTATGCAACAGAGTGATTCTGACAGCTTCAGGTCAGAGAAATTGAACTTTAATATTAAACTCAAAAACAAAGTGGTGAAAATACTCAGTAGACCTCTCAGCATCTGCACTATTTTACGTTGAGTTCAACATTAACTTAGCTATCACATCTTTTCCCTCTCACTTATTTTCCTAATCATTTATAAGCTTGATCGATTGATTATCAAACATTTTGTTTAGTTAATCGACTGGTATAGATGAATACATTTTTCTCCCTCAGAGTTATATTTTTAAGGAAACAAATTTCTCAAATTATTATGAGTGAGTCAGCATATTACTTCTTGTGGCCCTGTCTGTGGCCCAAACAGTGAGTCCCTTCTGGTGAAAGCAGGATGTCTGGTAATTAGTGCTCTTTATATGGAGAAAAGAAAACAACTTTTCCAAAATATATTGAAAGATAAAGAATCGCTCTGCAAAATGGCAGAAAATATGCAGCTTATGTAATTTGTGCCAACACCAACAAATGGAAAAATGTGTTAGTCATAACTTTGGCTTGTTTTCCACAATGGAACAGTTCTAACTGCAATGGCCAAAAGAAGTGTGGATCCAAGGTTCTGGACTGTGTTTTCTCTGAGTAGTGGGAGGTTGGAAGCAAGTTGTGATTTGGAATGGTGTTCAATTAAAATTTTTGACCTCCTTTTGAGCTCAGCAAATTAACTTTCGGTTCTATATGGCAAGGTTCAAGACTCCTTTAATACATTGAATTCTTGGTCAAATTCACACTGTTTGCTAATGAGAAATTAGAATAAGGTCTATTTTATGCTTTCCCTAGGGGCGGCACAGTGGCACAGTGGTTAGCACTGCTGCCTCACAGCACTAGGGACCCAGGTTCGATTCCAGCCTCAGGCGACTGTCTGTGTGGAGTTTGCACATTCTGCCCGTTTCTGCGTGAGTTTCCTCCGGGTGCTCTGGTTTCCTCCCACAGTCCAAAGATATGCAGGGTAGGTGGATTGGCCATGCTAAATCGCCCATAGTATTCAGGGATGTGTAGATTAGGTCAGTTATAGGGGGATGGATCTGGGTGGGATGCTCTGAGGTTCCGTGTGGACTTGTTGGGCTGAAGGGCCTGTTTACACACTGTAGGGATTCTATGAAAAAAAAACAGTGATGATGGATGATTGGATAGACAGACTTTGGAACTGGCTATGTTCCTTTTGAGTTGCTTGTTTTATATATGCAAGAAGTTTGAAGCTGTGATTACTACATTACAATATAACTTTTAAGCAAGATTTTGGTAGGTTTTTTGCTCATTTGGGATGTGGGCATCACTGGCTAGGCCAGCATTTATTGCCCATCCCTATTTACTGAGAGGGCAGCTAAGAGCCAACCGCGTTGTTGTGGCTATGGAGCCACATCTAGGCTAAACCAGGTGAGGACAGCAGTTTCCATTCCTAAAGGACATTAGTGAACCAGAAAGGTTTTTCCAACAATTGACAATGATTTCATGGTCATCATTAGATCCTTAATTTGAGATTTTTATTGAATTCAAATTACACCATCTGTCATGGCAGAATTTGAACCTGGGTCCCTGGAACATTGCCTCTGTCTCGGAATTAACAGTGTAGATATAATATCGTTAGGCCATTGTCTCCCCTTAGTAAGTTTGGAAATGACAATGTGAACACACAACGAAGGACATTTAACCCTCTATCATGCTCCTCCCTTCGAAATAGTCATTGCTGGTCTGACTGTGCTCTCAACTCCATTTATCAGTCTATTTGCAATGCCTTAGATTATTAACGATCAAGGAACCCTTTCTACTTCTGCCTTTGCTGCTGGCTGGAGAAGACAGCTTCGGAGATTAACGGCTCTGCGGGAAAAAAAATCCTTATTTCTAACTTCAGTGGAAGAAGTCTTTATTTTTAAACTGACTCCCTTAGATGCTGAAACGAGAGACTAGAACTATCTTGTTACCTCCCCTCAGGACCATATATATTTCAGTTAGATAACCTCCCATTCCTTCTCAACTCTGGTGAATACAGGCCCAACTTTGGAATTTTTCAATATATGATAACTCTTTCGTCCCAGGATTCAGTGTGAAACTTCTCTGAGCTGCTTTGAATACGGTCATGTGCTTTGTTAAATAAGGACACGAAAATTGCAACAGCCCTCTGGATGTCGTCTCTCTAAGGCCCTGCACAGGTGTACCAAAACTTACCTACTTGTATATTCTTTTCTTGCAATAAATCACATTTCATTTGAATGCCAAAAAAACAGCTATGAATTCAGAATTTAAGTTCTATTTTTTCTGGTTGTCATTTAATTAAAAATGAGTCTAAAAACATCTTCGGGTGATCAGGATTTTAATTGAGGAATTATGATGGTTCTGTTTTTATTTTCCTGCTGAGCTGAGGGGGACATGCTGATTACATTTGTTCAGATTCAAAATCGTAGTTATCATGGAGGGGCTGAGTAAGCAGGAAGGGTAGGAAACAAATTTAGCTAGATTTCCTGTACTGCCTTGTTATCCAGTGACTCCTGTTGGGAATCTAGTGGTCAAATATTGACAAGTTTGGATATATCTGTTGATGGGCTGCACTGTTCAGCGTTTATTTATAGGTTCACACAAGAAAATGGACTCTTGATCAAAGTGCTGATAGACTTCTGGTTCTGCATTAGATGACCCATTAAATTAAAATAAGGATGAAAATCAGAGAAAAACTGAGTTGCTGTTCCTGCAACCTTCAGGTAGCATCGTTGTGGCACTGCAGGAGGCCCAGGATGGACATGTCTCCATCTCTGGCAACCACCTAGAAACCGATATCCATTTCAAGCCCACCGACTCCCACAGCTACCTAGAATACACCTCCTCCCACCCACCTTCCTGCAAAAATGCCATCCCCTATTCCCAATTCCTTCGCCTCCGCCGCATCTGCTCCCAGGATGAGGCATTCCACTCCCGAACATCTCAGATGTCCTCGTTTTTCAAGGACCGCAACTTCCCCCCGTCAGTGGCTGAAAATGCCCTCGACCGTGTCTCCCCCATTTCCCACAACTCATCCCTCACACCCCCTCCCCGCAATAACAACCAAAACAGAATCCCCCTCGTCCTCACTTACCACCCCGCCAACCTCCGGATCCAACGCCTTATCCTCCGACACTTCCACCATCTGCAATCTGACCCCACCACCAAAGACATTTTTCCCTCCCCACCCTCATCTGCTTTCCGGAGGGACCACTCTCTCCGTGACTCCCTTGTCCACTCCACACTCCTCTCCAACCCCACCACACCTGGCACTTTTCCCTGCAACCGCAGGAAGTGCTACACCTGCCCCTACACCTCCCCCCTCACCCCCATCCCAGGCCCCAAGAAGACTTTCCACATCAAGCAGATGTTCACCTCCACATCTGCTAATGTGGTATACTGTATCTGCTGTTCCCTTTGTGGCCTCCTCTACATCGGGGAAACCAAGCGGAGGCTTGGGGACAGCTTTGCAGAACACCTACGCTCAGTTCGCACTAAATAACTGCACCTCCCAGTCGCGAACCATTTCAACTCCCCCTTCCCATTCCGCAGACGACATGTCCATCCTGGGCCTCCTGCAGTGCCACAACGATGCTACCCGAAGGTTGTAGGAACAGCAACTCCTATTCCGCTTGGGAACCCTGCAGCCCAATGGTATCACAAGCTTCAAAATCTCCCCTCCCCCTACCGCATCCCAAAACCAGCCCAGCTCGTCCACGCCTCCCTAACCTGTCCTTTCTCCCACCTATCCCCTCCTCCCACCTCAAGCCCCACCCCCATCTCCTACCTACTAACCTCATCCCGCCCCCTTGACCTGTCCGTCCTCCCTGGACTGACCTATCTCTTCCCTACCTCCCCACCTACACTCACCTTTACTGGCTCCATCCCCACCTCTTTGATCTGTCTGTTTCCTCTCCACCTATCTTCTCCTCTATCCATCTTCTATCCGCCTCCCCCTCTCTTCCGATTTTTTTCAGAACCCCCTTCCCCTCCTCCATTTCTGAAGAAGGGTGTAGGCCCGAAACGTCAGCCTTCCTGCTCCTATGATGCTGCTTGGCCTGCTGTGTTCATCCAGCTCTACACCTTGTTATATCAGGGAAAGCATAATGTCTTCCACATGAAGGCATTTCCTTGCAGCATTCAAATCGCACTCTGGTGCATAATGCACCTTTGGTAAATCCGGAATTCTGATTTTATAAATGTTTTCTGTTCCCCAATTTTCACTAAGTAGTGAATTATTTCTGATATTTTGGTCTTGTATCATTTCTGCATTCTCCAGTGTTTCTTGCCACGTGTTGAATAGGGTTCTAATGCCGTTTTGTGCACCTTTTATCTTCTAGAAGCTCAGTGGGAGCATGCAGTCAGATGAGGGAACAGAGTGGCTTCTTGAACTCCTCACTGAGGTACAGTTGCAGCAGTATTTCCTCCGCATTCGTGATGATCTCAATGTTACCCGGCTCTCTCACTTTGACTATGTGAAAAATGAGGATCTTGAAAAAATAGGAATGGGCCGTCCTGGTAAGTGCTATTCTTTGCAGAAGAATATACTTTGTTTCTTTCTATGTCAAATTTCATAGTACAAAAAAAATTTCTCTCAAAGGCACATACAAAGTGTTTTTAAAGAAGATGCTGCGTATATTTTAGTTCCAACAGGGTAGTCTTGATCAATGTATGTGTGTAAGCAAAGTTAACAAAAACCATAAAAGCGTAGCAAAATACACCCGTTTGGCCTCGCAATGCACTTCTAACTACATTTGTTACGTGTGGTCTTCACAATTCCAATTTTCTCTTGGATTGTCCCTCACTTTCCACATTTTCATTAAGTTGAACTCTTCCAGTTCTCTGTTTTCCCTAACCTAACATCAAGAGCCCTTCACCTAGCAATTCTGTGCTCAGTGACCTACCTTTACTTGCAGTTTGACAAAGCCTCAGGTGTAAAATTCTCCTTGTTTTCAAATCCTTAATGTCCTCATCTCTGGAACCTCCCCCAGCCCTACAACTTTTCAAATTCTGTATGACCTTATAATTCTAGCTTTTTATACCTCCCCAGTTTTTTCTTCCCCACCATTGGTGGCCTTCAGCACCTTGTGCCCTATGCTCAGGAATTCTTTCTCTGCCTCACTCCCTCTTCCTTTAAAGTGTGCTTTCAAACTTAAAACTTTGACCAACTACTTGCTCATCTGTCCTAATATGTGTCTGAGTTTCGAATTTTGGTTGATAATGTTTTTGTGAAGTGCCGGGGTCCCTGATTTATGAGCACCTGACTTACAAAAATCCATACAAATGAATGCAATTTCGTACTTGAGTTTAATTTTAAAGATCTGACTTACAAACATTTTCTTATGAACTGCTATTTTGAACTGTCCTGCATTGTGTTCCAACCTGCATACAAATTGACTTGCGAATGGACTCAAGAATGGAACCTGTTTACAACCTGAAGACCGCCTATAATCTTAAAGACAGTATACAAAGACAAGTTGTTGCTGCTGGATTCTGAAATGTAGCACAGAACATCGATTTCTAGTTGATCCAGTGATATCCAAGTTAGTTTTCAGACAATCTTGCCATTAAACATGCTTTGGTAATTAGTTATTTTGAAACAAATAAACTAAAATTAAAACAGCTTCCTTGCCTTCAATTTCAAAATGAACACATGGAGATTAGAGAAACGGTAAAGGCAAACTGTGCACACCTGATTACATGTCCTGATTTCCAGATCAATGTTTTTATTAAGTGTTATTTGGCCAAGGCAGGGACAGTTCTTTGGAAATTTGATGGAATGAGAGCACTGGTTCATTCGCATTTTGTGGAAAAAAATTTTCTTCTTTAACTGTGGATTTTCATAAACCTTTATCTTTGCAGTCTTTTGATGACTTAAGTGCTAGGAATTATTCTGTAGCATTTAGTTCTGGCTGGAGAAGCAAGTTCCATGAATTGACTGATTGTCCAAGTACAACTTTACATGAAAGTGTATAAAAGACTGTGTTTATGCAGGAGTTCTGTTCCTCCAACCAATAGTATGAGAAATATTCTTTGAAAAGCATTTTAGTGATTCCTTATGGTCAGATTTCAGCTTTATTTGCACCTGGATCTATGAAGAGGCAGACACAAATATCTGAAAGAGCAAAAAAAAATGCTTTGTTTGCTCCTCTGCCACTGAAAAAATAATGAAACTAGAAGGCCTCTGATAGTCTTTTGTTAGCTTTAAAGCCTGCAAGATGCTATCAACCATTTTGCAATGTTGAAAGTCATATGAAGCTTGCAAGAGGTTTCCTCACCAACAAGTTCTCTTCCAGGGCCTCTTGTGTCATTAGATTGTCAGGATATTAACATGGCCTACCCCAACATGTAGATTCTCAGGTTCCATTTGGTGACGTGCAGGACAAGTATGTGCTGTGATGTTTTAGCTCGGGTTGTGTGGGATTTGGACTGAGAATTGCTTCCCTTGTTTTAAGCCCCAGCTGAGAGTTATTTTTCCATTCCATAATTATTGTCACTTTAATGTGTAATTTAAGCTGTTCAAATCTACTTAGCAGGATATCATGGCAAAATGTCTCTCTGCCTGCCTTTTGGCATTTTATGAATTATTAATTTGTGACTTGAAGTGGATAACTTTTTGCATGCTATCCAATTAATTTTCTAACCGATGGCTCCTCTAATTAGAAAGAAAAGCTTTAGCAATTTATATGGTTGCCTGTGACTTCTTTAGGACATCCAGAAGTATATTGTAGCAATTACTTTTGAAGTGCTTATAGTTTTAATGTAGGCTATGATCTAAGATGGAAATGGCTAGTGTGGGTTGGTAAGTGAAACACAAATCACTAAACTTGCCAGCTTCTGCTAGAATTTGGAAATGGAGTCTTTGAAAATGATAACTCCCCACTTGAAACATGTATTGCAAATGCAAGGCTTTGAGAGATGATAGTTTTGGTCTGCCTCTTTAACTGAAGTTAAAATGGAGAAATGAAGACAGTCCCGTGATGTGCTGTGTTCTTCCTGACAACCAGCATGTGAGGCTTGGTTATCATAGAGATAGTGAGGCCCTGGTTGTGCCTTATAGGGAGCAACGTTCAAAATATTTGCATCTGGAAAAATAAGTCATGAACAGTTGGGTAAACTTGTTGACATACTTTGTCTCCTGAGTTTTTTTAATGAAAAAGATTTAGGAGGATGTTGCCAGGGTTGGAGGGTTTGAGCTAAAGGGAGAGGCTGCATAGGCTGGGGCTGTTTTCCCTAGAGTGTCAGAAGCTGAGGGGATGACCTTTATAGGAGCTTATAAAATCATGAGGGACATAGACAGGGTGAATAGCCAAGGCCATTTCCCAAGGATAGCAGAATCCAAAACTAGAGGGCCTAGGTTTAAGGTGAGAGGGGAAAAATCTAAAAGGGACCGAAGAGGCAACGTTATCATGCAGAGGGTGTTGTATGTGCGGACTGAGCTGCCAGAGGAAGTGGTGGTGGCTGGTATGATTACAACATTTAAAAGGCATCTGAATGGGGATATGATAGGAAATGTTGAGGGATATCAACCAAATTCTGGCAAATGGGGCTAGATTAATTTAGGATATCTGGTGGGTATGGACGAGTTGGACCAAAGGGTCTATTTCCATGCTGTACAGCTCTATGACTCGAAGAGAGAACAATGCCTCTCAAATACTGAGGGTTGCAGCTGGTTTGAGGAAAGCTGAAAGTGCTTTGGAGCTACCAGGCGAAAAGCAGAAGGAAGGACAGACAGTCTCTGATCAAAGAAGTATATCCGATGGCATTCTAAAGACTTTGGAAGATTTTCCCTGGCAAAGTTGATGTGAGAAAATGCTAGAATAAGTGTTACTTCTGGTAGACGGTTTCAGAATCCTCTGAAAACTAAAAGGAAACTGCCCAGGACTGGGACTGATGTCCTAGGGGGACTGCTTGCTAGAGCAGTTGGAGAGGGTTTAAACTAATCTGCCAGGGGGATGGGAACCTGTGTAGGGAATCGGAGAAGGAGGGAGCAAGGACAAAAACAAAGGTAGAAAAAGGAATAAGAAAAGTGATAGGCAGAGAAACCAAGGACAAAATTCAAACAGGGCTATTGAGAAAAATAATAGCGAGTCAAACAATGTTAAAAAGACAAGCTTTGTGCCTTAATGTGCAGAGCATTTGCAATAAAGTTGATGAACTAATTGCGCAGATAGATGTAAATAGGTACAATATAATTGGGATTACAGAGACATGGTTGCAGGGTGACCAGGGATGGGAACTGAATGTCCCAGGGTATTCAGTATTTAGGAAGGGCAAGAAAGGAAAAGGTGGTGGAGTGGCATTGCTGGTTAAAGAGGAAATTAACACAAAAGTGAGAAAAGATATTAGCTCTAACAATATCAAGGGGCAAAAAACGTTAGGTGGTGTCAGATATAGACCCCGAAACTGCAGTGGTGATGTTGGGAATGGCATTTAAACAGGAAATTAGAGATGCATGTGATAAGGGAATATCAGTGATCATGGATGATTTTAATCTGCACATAAATTGGGCAAATCAAATTAGCCACAATACTGTAGAGGAGGAGTTCCTGGAGTGTATATGGGATGGTTTTCTTGACCAATATGTGGAGGAACTAACTAGAGAGCAGGCCGTCTTACACTGGGTACTGTGTAATAAGAAGAGAATCATTGCCAATCTAGCTGTGTGAGACTCGTTGGGGATGAGCAACCATAGCATGATAGAGTTTTTTTTATCAGGGTGGAGAGTGAGGTAGATTCAGAGACCAGGGTGCTGAATCTTAATAAAGGAAACTATGAATATATGAGGTGTTAATTGGCCTTGATAGATTGGGTGTAGTTACTTAAAGGGATGACAGTGGATAGGCAATGGCAAACATTCAAGGAATGCATGGGGGAACTGCAACAACGGTTTATTCCTGTCTGGCACAAAAGCAAAATGGGTAAGAGGACCAGTCCATGGCTTACAAAGGAAATTAGAGATAGTATCCAATCCAAGGAAGAAGCATACAGATTGTGTGAGGATTGGGAGTAGATTAGAATTCAGCAAAGGAGGACCAAGGGATTGATTAAGAAGGGGAAAATACGGTATAAAAGTAACCTTGCAGGGAACATAAAGACTGATACTAAGAGTTTCTATAGGTATGTGAAGAGAAGGAGATTGGTTAAGACAAATGTAGGTCCCCTGCAGACAGAAACGGGGGAATGTATAATAGGGGACAAAGAAATGGCTGAGCAACTGAACATACAGTTCTGTCCTCGCAAAAGAGGGCACAAATCAGATACCAGAAATATTGAAGAATACAAGATTTAGTGAGAGGGAGGAATTGAGGGAGATCACTATTAGTAGAGAAATGTTGCTGGGAAAATTGATGGGATTGAAGGCAGATAAATCCCCAGGGCCTGATAATCTACATCCCAGAGTACCTAAGGAAGTGGCTCTAGAAATAGTAGATGCGTTGGTGGTCATCTTACAGAATTCTAGAGACTCTGGAACAGTTCCTGCTGATTGAAATGTAGCTAAGTCATTCCAATATTCAAAAAGGGAGGTAGAGAGAAAACAGGGAATTTATAGACCAGTAAGCTGAACATGGGTAGTGAGGAAAATTCTCAAATCCATATCAAGGACTTTATAGCAGAACGTTTAGAAAGCATTGGCAGGATCAGACAGAGTCAGTATGGACTTATGAAGAGGAAATCATGCTTGACAAATCTGTTGGAATTCTATGAAGATGTAACTAATAGAGTTGACAAGGGGGAGCCAGTTGATGTAGTATATTTGGACTTTCAGAAAGCATTTGACAAAGCCGTGCATAAGAGACTATTATGCAGGATTAAAGTGCATGGGATTGGGGGAAGTGTGTTGAGATAGATAGAAAACTGGTTGGCAGAGAGGAAACAAAGAGTAAGAATTGACGGGTCCTTTTCAAAATGGCAGGCGGTAACTAGTTGGATGCCACAGGGTTCGGTGCTGGCACCCCAGCTATTCACAATATATATTAATGATTTGGATGAAGGGACAAAATGTAACATCTCAAGGTTTGCAGATGATACCAAGTTGGATGGGAGGGTGAACTATGACGAGGATGCAGAGATCCTTCAGCATGACCTGGATAGATTGGGTGAGTGGGCAAATCAATGGCAGATGCAGTATAATTTGGATAAATGTGAGGTTATTCACTTTGGAAGCAAAAACAAGAAGGCAGATTACTACCTGAATGGCTGTAAATTGGGAGAGGGGAGTGTGCAGCAGGACATGGGTGTCCTTGTGCACTAGTTGCTGAAGGTAAGCATGCAGGTTCAACAGATGGTAAAGAAGGCAAATGGTATGTTGGCCTTCATTGCGGGAGGTTTTGAGTACAGGAGCAGGGATATGTTGTTGCAGTTATACAGGGCCTTGGTGAGGCCACACCTGGAATATTGTGTGTAGTTTTGGTCTTCTTTTCTGAGGAAGGATGCTCTTGCTCTTGAGGGAGTGCAGCAAAGGTTGACCAGGCTGATTCCGGGGATGGCGGGATTGGCGTATGAGGAGGGATTGACTAGGTTAGGATTGTTTTCGCTGGAGTTCAGACAAATGAGGAGGAATCTCCTAGAGACTTTTAAAATTCTAACAGGACTGGACAGGGTTGATGCAGGAAGGGTGTTACCTATGGTGGGTGTGTCCAGAACCAGGTGTCACAGTATGAGGATTCGGTGTAGACCATTTAGGACAGAGATGAGGAGGCATTTCTTCACCCAAAGAGTGGTGAGCCTGTGGAATTCATTACCACAGAAAGTAGTTGATGCCAAAACATTGAATGTATTCAAGAGGCGGCTAGATACAGACCTCGGGTGAATGGGATCAAAGGTTGTGGAGAGAAAGCAGGATTAGGCTATTGAGTTGGATGATCAGCCATGATCATGGTGAATAGCAGAGCAGGCTAGGAGGGCCAAATGGCCGTCTCCTGCTCCTATTTTCTATGTTTCTATGTTTCTATGTTTCAGTGGTCACTTCCTAATTTGCCAAGTCATAATTTTAAGATATGAACCCATTGAAAGCTGGGTGTGACCGTGGACTGTATCACGTAAAGACTCTAATCCTTTTCAGAGTGTGCTGTAAACTTTGTATGCAGGTGGGTTATTGGTCAAGAAAGTCTCATTGTTTCTTTTGTTTAAAGTATAGGTTTCTTCCTAGCCAACATTTAATGGATCTTGCTTACTGAGGTACAGAGAAAGTCTTTAAACTTTACATCTTGTCATGCAACTTCTTTAAATCATTGACTGACAATTCAAACAAAAATAGAAATTTCTGTAGAACTCAGCAGATCTGTAGACAGAATGCAGAGTTACCCTTCTGGATAAGGGTCACTGGACTCAAAATGTTAAATTTGCTTTCTCACCATAGATTCTGCCAGACCTGAGTTTCTCCAGCAGTTTCTGTTTTTGTTTCAGATCGTTAGCATCCGCAGTCCTTTGTTGTATTTTACTGGCAATTCAAATAGCTTTTTAAAAAGTTACTGGTCTCAAGGGAAGGTAACACAAGTAAGAGCCTGATTCACATATTTATCTCAAGGCATCAGTCTTATTCAGCATCCCAGTACAGGTTTGGTCTCCTATAGGGCAGAGCTCAGGCTGCACGCATTGCAACCTGTGAAATTGAACATAAAGTTGTCGGACTGTGGGCCCTTTAAAGGGGCCACAGAAGGCTGCTCAGAAATCTTTACAGGTGAGAATATAAAGTGACTTTTTTTTTCCCCATACTGGCACTGATTGAAATGTTCGGCTGCCGTGGCTGGAAAGATCCATGCAGGTGTCTGTTATGTATTATTCATGTGTAGTGTATATTTTGGGGAGGGTTCACACATGTTCAGCTGGCTCATTTAATATTGTCTGATTAATCATTTTCCGTGAATTATTAATTTGTAGGAGTTTTAGTTAATAGTTCAGGGCTGGCAATTATACAATTATGCAATGGAAGAGGGCAGTACATGAGGAAATGTTAGGCAGGAGGGCATCATTTGCAATAATCAGTTGATTACTGACTAAATTATTGCTAGGTAAAGATATGCCCCCTATCATTACCACTGCACATCTAACCAGGTGAAATCGCAATCTGTCACCAGTTCGTACTTCCTACTAGGACTAGAGCTATTCATGAGAAAATAACAACTTCCATCGTGTGTTCACAGGCCAGCGGAGGTTATGGGAAGCTGTAAAACGAAGGAGAGCTGTGTGCAAGCGTAAATCGTGGATGAGTAAGGTATGCCTGTGGCTGTTGTCCATTTTATTATTGTATATGTGGAAAGGAATTTCTGATTCTGTCCTCCGTCTGTGGAAAAGCAGTTATCTCTATAAGAGATAGTAAGAACTGCCAATGCTGGAGTCAGAGACGACAGTGCGGAGCTGGAGGAACACTGCAGGCCAGGCAGCATCAGAGGAGCAGGAAGGTTGATGTTTTTGGTCGGGACCCTTCTTCAGAAACGGTGAGGGGGAAGAGAGCTCAGAAATAAATAGAGGAAAGAGGACGGGTGGGGCTGGGAAAGGTAGGTGGGATGGTAATAGGTGAGTATAGGTAGGGAGTATTGGGAATTGGTCAGTGGGATGGGTGGGGCGGATAGGCGGGAGAGAAAATGGGCAGGTTGTGTCAAGTCGAGGAGGCAGGCATGAGAGGGAGGATTGGACATAGGATGAAGCTGGGGGTGGGGAGATTTTAAAACTGGTAAATTCCATGTTTAGGCCATTGGGCTGTTAGCTCCCGAGGCGGAATACGAGGTGTTGCTCTTCCAGTTTGCGGGCAGTGTCATTGTGACACTGGAGGAGGCGTAGGATGGACATGTCACTCGGGGTGGCGGGGGAGGAGGTGGGGAGTTAAAATGGTTGGCGACTGGAAGGTGTTGTCATTTGTCGCAAACAGAGCGCAGATGCTCGACAAAGCGGTCTCTGAGTCTACGCTTGGCCTCACCAATGTAGAGGAGGCCACATCGGGAGCAGTGGATGCGTTATACCAAGTTGGCAGATGTACAGGTGAATCCCTGTCTGAAATAAAAGGTTTGTTAAGAGCCTTGAATGGAGGTGAAGTGGGGGTGGTGGGGTGTGGTGGTGGGGGAGGTGTAGGGGCAGGTGAGGCACTTCCTGCGGTTGCAGGAAAAGGTGCTGAGTGTGGTAAGGTTAGTGGGGAGTGTGGAGCAGATGAGGGAGTCACAGAGTGAGCGGTTCCTATGAAAGACAGATAGGGGTGGGGAGGGAAATATATCTTTGGTTGTGGGGTCGGATTGTAGGTGGCGGAAAATGATGCGCTCAATGCGGAGGTTGGTGGGATGATACGTGAAGACAAAGGGGATTCTGTCTTTATTTTTGTTAGGGGGCGGGGGTTTGAGAGCAGGAGTGTGGGAAACGCAAAAGATGCGGTTGAGGGCATTTTTGATCACTGGAGTGGGGAAGTTACGGTCCTTGAAATAGGAGGACATCTGGGATGTCTGGTAGTGGAACGCTCCATCTTAGGAGCAGACGTGGTGTAGGCAGAGGAATTGGGAGTAAGGGATAGTATTCTTGCAGGAGGGTGAATGAGAGGAGGTGGGTTTGAATAAGATGTCAGTTTTGTGGTGGTTACCAGAGATGGAGACGGAGAGGTCCAGGAAGGAGAGGGAGGTATCGGAGATGGTCCAGGTGAATTTGAGGTTGGGGTTACCTCAGCCTCTCCTGCTGACGCCACCAACCTCTTCACTTCCGCCAACGCTGTTCATGTCACTTCCACTCCTGAGACAGTATCCACCCCACACCCAGCTCCAGCTCTACACCTAGCCCCAGCCCCAAACCCTGCTGTATCTTCACCATTCCCCAAGACGTCCCCCTCACTGAGGGTGAACAGTCCTTAGTAAAGAACTCGCCGTTAATCCCCTCACCCACACATCAATGAGTTCTGTTCATGTTTGGATGTTGAACTCTTTTCCTGCTGGCTCCGCCTCCGCGCCTATTTCTTTAACGGGGAGTCTAACCCACCCTCTACAGACCCCCTCTCCCACCTCCAACAATCCTCATCCTCCTGGACACGGCCTCCGACCCTCCCTCAACCTCTTCATTTCCAACTGCCGTTGTGACATCGATTGCCCCAATCTCTCCACCCCCCTCACTCACTCCAATCTCTCCCCCACGGAGCTCGCAGCCCTCCGTTCTCTCTGCTCCAACCCTAATCTCACCATCAAACACACAAATAAGGTGTGGGTGCAGTAATGGTATGGTGCACTGACCTTTACATAACCGAAGGCAGGCGCCAACTCTGACACCTCCTCCTCCTACTGCCCCCTCGATTATGACCCCACCCCTGATCACCAAACCGTCGTCTCTCAGACCATTTATAACCCATCACCTCAGGTGACCTCCCACCCACAGCCTCCAGCCTTATCGTTCTCTAACCCCACTTGAACAGTCATTAACTTTACTAACACCTTTCACCCCAACTTCAAATTCACCTGGCCCATCTCTGATACCTCCTTCTCCTTCCTGGACCTCTTCGTCTCTGTCTCCCCCTTGAAACCGACATCTATTTCAACCCCACCGACTCCCACAGCTACCTAGACTACACCTCATCTCACCCACCTTCCTGAAAGAATGCGATCCCCTACTCCCAATTCCTCTGCCTCTGCCATGTCTGCTCCCAAGATAGAGCATTCCACTCCTGGACATCACACATGCCATCCTATTTCAAGGACCGCGAATTACCCCCTTTGGTGATCAAGATTGCCCTCAACTGCATCTCTTGCATTTCCCCCACTTCTGCCCTCATACCCCCACCCCCCAACAAAAACAAAGACAGAACCCCCGTTGTCCTCACATATATCACCCCATCAACCTCCTTATCCAATGTATCAATCTCCGCCACTTCCGACACCTACAATCCGACCCTACAACCAAAGAGATATTTCCCTCCCCATCCCTATCTGCCTTTTGTAGGGATCACTCACTCTGCGACTCCCTTGTCTGCTCCACACTCCCCACTAACCCCACCACACCCGGCACCTTTCCCTGCAACCGCAGGAAGTGCTACACCTGCCCAACAACTCCCCCCTCACCTCCATTTAATGCCCTAAACAAACCTTTCATATCCGACAAGGGTTCACCTGTACATCCATCAACTTGGTCTACTGTATCCGCTGCTGCTGATGTGGCCTCCTCTACATCAGTGAACCAAGCATAGACTCGGAAATCATTCTGTAGAGCATCTACGCTCTGTTCGCGACAAATGACAAACCTTCCGGTTGCCAACCATTTTAACGTCCCCCTCACTCCCTGAGTGGCATGTCTATGCTGGGCCTCCTCCAGTGTTACAATGACACCACCCGCAAACTGGAGGAGCAACACCTCATATTCCGCGTCAGGAGCCTACAGCCTGATGGCCTAAATGTGGAATTAACCAGTTTTAAAATCTCCCCACACCCAGCCTCATCCCATGCCCAATCGTCCCTCTCATTCCTGCCTCCTTGACCTGATACAACCTGTCCATCTTCTCTCCCACCTATCCACCCCACCACTCCCTACCTGCACTCACCTATCATCCTCCTACTACCTTCCCCAGCCCCACCCCTCCAATCTATTTATTTCCCACCTCCCTTCTCCCTCCCCATTTCTGAAGAAGGGTTCTGACCCAAAACATCAACTTTCCTGCTCCTCTTATGCTGCCTGGCCTGCTGTGTTCTTCCAGCTCCACGTTGTGTTATCGTCAGTTAACCCTATAAATTGGCTTTTGCTTGTTTTACATGTCTTAAACATAAAGGCTAAATTTGTAATGCACCAGCCCACAAATTTACTTCGGGTCTTTGTAAGGAACCACATATTTTTATTTTTTTTGGACTATAAACTGAAATGAGATTTAGACTGCTATATAGCTAAAATATCAGGCGAGTTTTGCAAATTGGGGTAAAAAGCAGTCAAGTGGTGCAAACTTTTAGCTATGTAAGGCAATGTGTGTTTTTGAAGCAACGAGCAGTATACTTTGAGACAGAGTGGCACCAAGAGTCTTTGAGTTAAGGAAAGTCTGCTTGCTGACAACCTGTTGATCGGTTGAGTTGCAAAGTTGCATGTGCTGGGCAGCCAGAGACATCCTGAAACTGCAAACTGAAGATATTCGTTTCTATCCCTTTTAGACAGACAAACTTAAAAAAAAGCTTAGAAGAAAGAATTCTAACAGGAAAAGTCTTGGGTCCACTAGATCAGCTATTACAGTCAATTATGGCCATCACTGTACAGCAAGTAATCATTATTGAAATTAAAAGAAACTGAGAGAGACACCCTTCAGATCTGGATTTTTCATCTTCAGAATTCAGTTCTCATCTATACTTTTTACAACTCATAATATCTGTCAAACCATCTGCCTTAATCACGAATGAGTGTGAATGCATTTGGGGTTTCTGAAGGAATTGTTTGAGTCAGAAAGTAGTAGATTAGAAATTCTTTCTTTTCTTTGGCATTTGTTAAAGTTGTGTGACAATAAATAGTTTTTTCTGTTAATAACAGAATTTGGTCTGAATTGCTTTCATCCTGAATAGCAGTCATTCAAGCAAAATGGTCATCTTGTTCAAGGAATTTGGACATCGTGGGCAAGGTCAACATTTGTTGCCCATTTCAAAAGGCCCTCGGAACTTCCTGTTCCACTCTTGGGACTGGCACAGTACAGTAAAAATTCCACACAGTATTAGTTCTCATGTACTCCGGTAAAGTTGGTGATATAGTGATAATGTCATTAGCCTAGTAACCGAAAATCCCAGGCTAATACTCTGGAGATGTGTATGTAAATAAATTCAATTAATAAATCTGAAAAACAAAACTGGTCATTGTAATGTTGGAACTGTATTACATTGTTCTCAAAACCTACCTGTTTCACTGATGTTCTTTAGGGAAGGGAATCAGATGTCCCTGTCTGATCTACCCTACCTGTGACTCCAGCAATAGCAATGTGAAATGGCCCTACAAGCCTCTCATTTCAAGGGCCATTTGAAATGGGCAACAAATGCTGACTTTGGCCGTGATGTGCTCATTCCATGACAAAGTTCGAAATAAAAGTAGTTGTACCTTACCACCATCTCCGTCAACTCAAAGGAGTTGCTAAATGATCCAACAGCTTATTCAACATCCAAAACTGGATGAGTAGAATCTTCCTCCAATTAAGTTTTTCTTTTCGTGTACTTGACATACTTTGTGCCCTGATCACTAACTCCTCCCCTTACCCTGGGGAATGTCTGAAGCCAAATGCACACCCTGCCAAAA